TCAGATTTTATTGAACAATTAATATCAGATAGAAATCCTTCTATCTCTCTAGTGTATGATTTATGTTAAAGATATACTACAATTTTGTATTTTGGAGAGATGTGGCAAAATAATAAATTTGTATGTTGTTCACACATAAACTCTCAGATTGTTTAATTATAATAAAGGTATGATAACGTGCACTAATTTAATTAAAGCTGCAAGCAGCATCTGTGGGGTTTCAATTATAAACAGTGAAACATGCAGCAAGTAGCATTCAGACACAGAAATCAAAATGGCTGCTGGTCATGTGATCACAGGAAGTTATTGGCAGTTTGGTAGCTGCCAGTAAAGGAATGATATATCCCAAGTTTCAACCAAATCCATTGAGATTTCTGGAGTTTTCACAAAACCCAAGATGGTAACCCAAAGGTTTGGTCACGTGACTAACAGGAAGGTGTATGCTTCAGTTCAGACATACCTATATATATATATATACCATAGAAAATTCGGAAGTTTTTGTGCAGCGGTTGCCGTGATGAACGTTATGGAAAAAAAGCGGAAGAAGGCAGATAGAGGAACTACTCCTACAAAAACAATAGAGCTTTCTCATTAGATTTTCTACAAACTAATGTCCTATTAGTAGCTGATTGTATCAATTGTTTTAAAATGAATGACGGTTAAGTTCGGTTTTCAAGAAAACCAAGTTCATTCATAACAGTATTTTTCAAAAACTCTTGGGATACATACCCTGCCAAAAATCACTATGAGCATTATTTCACTTGGATAGTACCGATTGCCAACATTTGGGGCCTGGCTCATGGTCTAAATTATACATTCGGATAAACAGTTGAATATATGTGAACAATACATTTCAGATGGATCTGGGCAAATTCTGCAGATTCAGTGATTGGATTACTTGCAAGATGCTCAATGTAGAATTGTGATATAAGAATAACGTAAATGAATTTAACATAAATCGCGATAACGTTTGGATGGCTGGTCCTATGCGAAACATTAAATGGAAGAAATGAAAACTATGGACTAGTTATCATTCTAAAGTAAATATGCCTAAAATGTTATGTTTCATCAAGATATAAGAGTGACAGATCAATTGTTTCTTTTCATAAACAATAATAAACATTTAATTATCACAACAAGATGGCGACTTTTCGTCAAAAATAGATATGCCGTTAAGTTGATTGGAATATATGATGTCATAAATAAGTGAAGATAATCATAAAAACATATCCTTTGTATTATTGAAAGTATACGCCATGGACTAGGCAAAGTAAAACGTTACTGTAAAGAGCCACAATCATCGTGTCCCACTTAAGTCACATATAACATATATATATACAATTCGGATGCCCAGTGTGGACGACTGTGGTGCATTATTCATTGACTATGTTGGGGAAAATAAGCTAACTAGCTAAACCCGGTGAAGGTGGTACTGTAAAATAGTAATAATCAATCTGATATGTTCATCTTTTCTAGAACCCGCTCAAACTATTTCTGGAGGTTGCAGACTCCAACAAGATCCCGGTGTTTTTAATAGATACGCAAATATTACAGGCCATATCTGATTGTCAGGAGACAGGGCAACGCCTTGAAATGTGCAGTTGTTTCTACCATGCAGAGAATAACATCATCACTTTTGCCGTGTTAGAATTAGATTTAAAATATAAGGTATATGTATGATTCTTGATTTCAAAAATAGATAGTGTTAATTTGGTTCTCCTATTCCACATAAGATTATTGAAGCCCTACATACATGAATAATGTTCAGCTTTATGTTCTTTGTAAATAAGATAAAACACAGAAACTAAAATACATTGCATTGATTGCGACCAATAAATGTACTGTTTACCCTTATCCTAATAATATACAAGAGAGACAAATATTGTATATTTAATATATAACGTTCAAGTAGTCAAATCATTCAAAATACTCTCACATATTGCCATTAACGACTGTTGCATTATGTGTACGCAAATCCTGCAATAATTTTGATAGTGTATTCAGTACATGTTAACTGATGCTGAGGAATTACAAGTATTTTTTTCCAAACTCAGTAGAACACTACACATTGAACTTACTAACGTGTTCAACGTCTTAATTTTAGCGATGAATTTAGTGTGTTAACAGTTTAAGATACTGAACTAATTCTCATTTTATTATAGGAAGCATTTTTTGATGAAATGAGACAAAAAGGTTTTACAAGCATATCTATTACTGGTCCAGATTCTACACAGTCATCGGCGGTTACTCTGCACTATATATTTGCAAAATCCGGATTTGTTGTTCATCTAATATTTTTTTATGAGAGGATTGGTAACTTTTGGTGGCATGGCGCACTCACATTGGAGGACATACAAGCAGTTGGCATGGGAGAAAATGCAAAGGGGGTGGATCTATCAAAGTGTGTGACTGGACAGCATGCACAAGCCTTTGATAAGTATGTTATATTACATTTTCAAGGACATATAATAATATCATGTTGACATGCATTATGCGTTTTTATTCTTGGGGGTTTATTTTGTATATTTTATTGTTTATCTTGGATATTTATTTGTAAACACTATAAAATACTGCATAATTTCACACATAGCATAAACAATAAAAAATGTTATGACACAAACGATCCTCAACATTCAACGCATTTACTCGTATTTCAACTCCCCGTAAACATGGAGATACAACATACGGAAATAACATTAATAATAATAATATATATTCGAATAAACAGGTAATTCTTTGGCTTATCACAGGGATAGAGGGACTTTGGCCTAATGCATTAATGTGTATATTTATTAGGAATCTAAGGCTTGTAGCCCTATTATTATGGTTCAAATTCACTTCTTCTTTTTCTGCCATATGAGAAACCCGCTGAACAGTATGGTCTCAAATTTTCTTTAATGATAGGATGTTAACTGGTGCAGCAGACTTTTAGGAATTATGAATGGTCAACTGGTTTGACAGCCATATTGAATTGAAATTAGTGCAACTGGCAATTTGAACCAGGGTTTAGGTGACCTTTTCCACAATGTTTTTTTCTCTAAACGTCTGAAAACCATTGAACACATTGATCTGAAATTTGTTTTTTCGCATCAATGCGTGAGCACATTAAAATTTGAAAAAACTAAACAGAAAGTTTTTATTGATGCCAAAAATGGCAAAAAAATAGTGTTTGTTTTGAGTGCTTTAACCAATCAACTTGATATTTGGCATGTAGCATGTATGGCCGAATTGTATCAAATCAGTTTGATCAGTCATGTAGTTTCGCAGCCATCTTTAATTTTCGACACCAATGTTTGGTCATTTCTTGATATTTTACATGTACCACATACAGTCAAAGAAAAACAAACAATTTGGTTTGACCACGTGATTAACAACAAAAACGAGATCTGTGATTAACAACAAAAATGGCACAATTAATTTGCTTCATATGATTGCTACGACCTATCGGCTTGATATTTTGTACATAACATTTTATGGCTAATCCTTGTTACAAGAACAAATAATAAATTTGATCAGTCGGTTTTGTTTAAATATAACAACTGAATGTAGTGATTGTTTATGGATGGCCCTGTACAACAGAAAACAGTATGTTACTTAAACTTTATTGCATACACATTCACACGAACCTACTTGGATTACACGGATGCCGCTTGCAGCATTAATTCGTTGTTTGTTTGTTTGTTTGTTTGTTTGTTTGTTTTTTCAAAAAAAATACCAGCCCTTCTGATACAATTATTGTTTAACCTTTTATCGAAATAAAATGTATCAATGTTGTACACATCTTATTTTAACAGGATGGATATTGTGTCCAGGAATGTAGATGGTGTGACGATAAACGTGCCAAGATTCCCACTGGTGCTTTTGAATCAAAAACAATACTCGAACTTTGTTGGTTGCAACTATACCAGGGTTAAAGTGTTCCAGAAAAAGAATGGCGCTGATATGAGCAAAGTAGCAATAAATTTCAAGATTCGTGTTCGGACTCTGTTGCATGATACGAAGAAGGTACTTGATGGACTGGGAATTCGATTTTGGTTGAGCGCCGGCACCTTATTAGGTACATCATTAGTGATTGTTCTAGTTGGTTGGAGAGAAGCAGAATTGAACATTTAGATAAATATATTTTTGTTGCTGTTTCTACCAGCAAGGATGACCCAATTAAGACTATATTCTTGATCATAAAGCTTGATATCATCATTTTAAGGTTACATATTTTTGATAATCTTATAGAAATTATATTAAGCTTTTGAAGAGATTGTCGTATCCAGTGGATCGCATGTCAACTGTTTGTTGTCGATCCTTAAAACGTAATCAAGCGTACAGCAGTAATCTGCATTTATATTTCTTTGGAATTATGTTGATTTAGACGATTTAATTATAACATTGTTGGCACTAACGAGAAATCACCTAAATAAACCAGGTAATACTCCCAGCCTCCCTTAAGATATCCCATAATAGAACACACTTCAAAAACACATTAAAGCATTACCTACTACAGAATTAAACCTTTTACCTTATCAATATGTTTTTTACACATCAGATTTGTTATTTTCTTTTATTTCCTCCTTCTATAAGTTGTATATTACTATTCTTGGATGTCCTACCTACCTAACTCCAGTTTATTTGAATTATTCTAATCATTATTTAATCATTTAACCAGTTTTATTACCATAATATCATACAATAAGTTGGTTCTTGGACTAGATTAGTTCAGACGAACTATTTTCCTTGGACCAAACCAGAAAATTTCAAACATCCTTTTTTTTCTTCATTCTCACATTGTTTGTTTTCTGTTGTTGTATATTTTCTGGTTAAGTAAATCAAATCAAATCAAATCAAATCAATACAAACAACTACGCACAAGTATTTATTGTTGAATATAAGCTCTACCCCGGGTACGTGTGTCGTGGTGTTGGCGAAAAAAAGAAAAGGTTATCCAAGCTCTGCCTCCACCAGGTTTGTTCTTGTGGTTTTTACCCCGCTTGGGGTGATGTGTGAACATATACGCGTTTTTACACAGTAACCTATTTTGACACGTTATGCCATCTAATGTATGCAATACTTTTTTAATGTAATGTAATGCATGGTAACACCAGGTTTAATGGTACCAAATTAATAGTATATTATTTTCCCCAAATATGAATTTACAACAAGAACCGCACTTTAATGTATATTTATCTTGTCTTCTGGCAGGGTGGTTTCGAGAATGTGATACTATGCATTATTCACGAGATGTTGATATTGAAATATGGGCAAAAGACTACGACTCGAGAATAATACAGGCATTTCAGGATGCTGGATTTTGTCTCATAACTAATAATGGAAAGGTAAAGGATTGTTTTCAATTGATCAGATTTTCATTTCATTTTTTATGCACGAAATCTTACCCGTAATTAGGAGATTTTATTGTCGTCGTCGCTGTAGTCGTACTCGACTTAAACAACGGCCGTTTTAGATATATTACTTTCAAACTTTTACAATACCACAAGACATTTGTATTCAAACGTTTGTTAAACTTGGTTATGATGTTAACCAATATGAAATATAAATCATTTGTTCATAGAAATACAAATTAAAAGTTCCCATTCTATAATGGGCCTTGGGATTACTAGTGAATTCATGTTATTATTATTGCGGAGACCTACTTATGATTATTGTAATTACTTTTTAGCTTTTTACCACTGTTTTTCATTGATTTTAGTCAAAATCAATATTGAAACCAGCATTCAAGATACTTTATTTCCTTCTTGTTTTAACATTTATTTTAAAACAAAATTTCGCTTCTACATTACAATTAACATATTAATCCCCTTTTAAAAATATTATAATCACTGTGCATTTTTTTTTTTTTTATTTCTCAAAGAACATTATATACTATTATATTTGAGTGTGTATGATATGTTTGTTTACACTATTATCATAAACTGGTATAATTGTTCATGTTGAAATCATACACATTATAAATATATTTACACTAATTTCATGTATGTTTTGCAGCCCGAATTTGGTTTATCATTGGCTTTCAAACATGATGTGGGCCTCAAACTGGACGTGTTTTTGGATTATGAATCAAATGATTCCACATGGAATATGATGACGTATGATAGCAAGGAAAATTACCAACAATTCAAGTATGGAAATTATATAAGTATATTATCATACTATATAAACTAATTTAGATATCATTTATAAAACGAGTGTAGTATTTTTCATATATTCCGATCTTTTCGGGATCCTATTTATCCTATGTATTCGTTTCGTAGATTTTTGTCATAATAAATACATGGCGATTGTAAACTCTGAGTGCTTAAAAAGAATTCTCAGCGTGTTCGGTATTCAGTTTACCGACGATGTACAGCTGCGGCTAAGCAATTTTGCTGATTTGGACGGAAATCAATATATTTAATGTTATATTTTTAGTGTCTTCAACATCAAAACGCACGTTGATGAGTGTATAAAGGAAACTATATTATTCACCATAGTCTAAACAGTTATTTGAAAAAATATTGAAAATCCTTGGAGATAACGCCCCAATTTTGAATGCATCGACCAATCAGATCATCAATAGCTCACTGGATATCGGGGTAAAAATATCCAATGGACTGTATCGCATGCATGATACATGGTATGAAGGATGATCACATATTTACAAACTTGTTTTTTTACAATTCAAACGGTATATGACAAAAATATACAGTTCAAATAAATATAAGTCGCATTCTTCTGTAGCGTGGGCAGAGGATCATAACTAATGTTTTTATATGCATTCAATAAAATATTTTTTTTTTTCAAATGATGTGTTTGAAAACACCAAAGCATTAAATAATTCACTTATACATTTTCTTTCAGGGTCACGCTACCTCGATTCACACTCTGTTGGACTGAATTTCTCGAAATGAAGTTAAGCGTTCCCTGCGAGAGCGAATTGTACATTGTAGAATCATATGGAAAACAATGGACTGAACGTGTGAAGACATGGGACCCGTTTAAAAGTCCACTGAACGTTGTGAAGGTGGGAGTATGGAGCAAAGCCGACTCAATGAAGTTTGGGAGACATCTATGGGAATGTTATTACCAATCATTGAATAAGTTGGCCTAAACCTATTTCTCCTTGCAGAGACTATGGGTATTTTATCACTAAACTAGGTAGTCGCCAGGGAACGTCCCACTAGTTGCGGCTCTCTGTAGCCCCCTAGGTCAGGTCATAAGTTCAAAGACTCTGCAAGGGAGAGTGCCTACATTCTTTATATATAAATTTGCTGCAGTTATCAATCGTTATTACCACAGATTCATATTACCCGTAGACATGGCAACTACAAATCTGAACAGAGTTTAAGTTGAATATGGTGTCTCAAACATTCAGTTTTATTGGCCCACATCTTACATATACTGGTGACCTTATGAGTTCAATTTGATACACCTCCACACTGTACGTATCGCCGTGTCGGTTGTATTTGTCATGACCAATTTTAATTGTTTCGGTTACAACTGGGCGGTTGATAAGAATTCCTTCTGAAGCCTATGGCCATAATTTTTGACAAATTTGGTCATAAATTGCATGACAATGTTAATTAGTTTATTATGTTTATTATGTGTTAGAGTAAAGATTTATGAGAAACGTGTCCTAATTTCTTGAAAATTGCTGTTTTTAGAACAATTCCATAGATTACAAAGTAAAAGAAAAATTGCATTTTTTTTACACTTTTTAAAACCCAGATTTTTTAAATAATTCAGAACAAAAAGTACTCCATCATTAACATTGTATGATTTTTTTCAGCCAGGCTAGATTTTGAGATATTGCATAATATCTCTGCCATAGGAACCTGTGGTAAAAGTGTTATAATAGTGTCAAAATGGCCACTTTTCACTAAAATACAACCATCAATATCGCGAAAAAATGGCTGGTGACCCCCAACTTTTTTTAAGTCAATATCCTTATATTGCCTTGGAGTACAGTTTATTGCAAAATGAATAAATTCTGGGTTTTTTAATTTATGAGTAGGCTTCTACCTTAAACGCTAATCAGGTCTTTTCTGTAAAAATTCTCTTGATTTGCTCACTCTGGAAGTTAACAGCCTCCAAAATACTTGTTATAAACTTACAGTCCCAAGCATTCATTGGTCATTTTTTTCAACTCACTCGAATATTACAAAAGCAGTCACAAACCATAAATGTACACCACAATGTTGGCAAGTTTGAAGACTGTCAGTATGAAGGAAACCTATAGCTCTATACCAACAGTACATCGTGCATGAATTCTCAAGACATTAAAAACAATTCAGTGTAAATTTTTCACAGGGTACTTTGAAGCTACCGGACTAGTGCCTATAAACTCACCAAGGCTGTTAAATTATTTGATTTGAAAGAGGAATGTAGAGCCACATTTGAAAAGTTGATAAAATGTCTGACTTATGCAAAAAGTATGTATGTATTGACATATGACACTGATACTGACATATGACACTGACGTAGGTGTTGGGAGCTGTATAATACACATCAACTAAGCTAGAAAAAAACAAGCCATGCATGGGACAGTCACTGTTTGTTATCACTTTTAAAATATATAGTTGTATTTATAGTAATATAGTTGGAACATAAACATGTGAGAGATATGGATCCAGAAGCTGATGTTTGATAAAATTAAAATGATTGACATTCAGTCTTGTATCTGATCAGCAAATAAGTACTAGTCCATATTGAGAGATATTGCTCTTGAACAAAATAAAATAGCCACCAATCAGCCATTTTGAATGCGAATGACGTGCAGCAACGACTAATAATGTCTAATGTGTGTACCAAGTTTGAACAAAATCTATCTGTAAACGGCCCGTTCTGGAATGTCAGAAATGCTTGATTTCAATGATTTTTCAGCACAAAAATGGCCACCATTCGGGCTTTTTGAATTGCATTTAAACCAATAAATGTATATCTATGACATGATGTATAATGAATATATGAAATTTGAACATAATCAGTCAAAGCACATTCATTAAAACAAAATGGCCACCAGTCAGCCTTTTTGAATTCGATCTAAAAAAACAAAATGACGTGCATCATGGTCTCATAATGTCCAATGTTTGAACAAAATCCATCTGTAAACAGAAATCCGGTTCAGGAATGCCAGAAATGCTTGATTTTGATAATTTTTCAGTGCAATTTGGCTACTGTGGAATACTTTATTTTAGCTGGAATTAATTTTCGCTGAAAAGGCTTTTTGGGCGTTTTGTATGGAATTTATTTTCACTGATTTTTGTTGAGTTTAATCTGAAATATAGGAAAAAAAGGATATTCGCTGGATTTTATTTTCACGGAATCATCCTTTCAGCGAAAATATCGAAAATAAATTCCAAGCGAAAATAAAGTATTCTACAGTATCTTGAACCAGATCAAGAAACAAATATATGTATAATATTATGTATGATGTATGTGTGAAATTTGAATGTATTTTGGTCAGGTATGTCTAAGATATACCAGTAGGTCCATACACACACACACACACACACACACACACACACACGCACGCACAGAGTTTTCTGACTGCGCCCAAATGGAGACTAATAACAAAGCACAAATCAATTATTTAAAATTTAATAACATAAAGATACTCGTGACAATTATTCAAAATTCAATAAGAAAAGGAGTAAATTATGAAAACGCCGACATTTAAAATCATATTACACTGGCCTCTTAAAGTAAAGACACTGGTACTCTACATGGTGTTAAAATAAATATATATATATATATATACCACCCCAATGCCACCCATTCTAAGATGGAATAATGGAACATGCAGGACTTTTTTTGTATTCTTGACATTGCTTTTTCATTTATTTACTGTCAACACCATATTTTTTATGAACACAAAAACAGCAACATTGCCAGCCGAGTTGCTGACTGGTTTGCAATGGGCATCTAAAGATCATTAGAACTAGTTAGTTCAAACCATTTTTACAAGGGCGCGCCAATCGGCTTAATGACACAAAAGCAACTGTGTCTTGATGTGTCAGTACAAACATATTGTTTGGATAACTTTGCCATTTATTATATAGAAATTGATATGTTTGAATAAAAAAAATTAAAACACAATTGCATCTTGATGATCTATTTTATTTTCAATGTGTTTGAGTCTATAAGCTTCAGGTCTCAATTTGTTTTAAAGGTCAGACAGTAATCAGCAACTTTGTTTTGGTGTCCAGAAAAATATGGTGGTGACAATATGTATATATATTAAACATGATTAATCAAGAATGGTGACAGTTTGAGGGGTGATGGTCTTCACAGGGATGACATGTGACATATACAATGAGTGTAGTGTAGACGTTGCTTATTTCCACAAAATTTGATTTTACTGCAAAACCACCACCTGCTTTGAGAATTCAATCATTGATTCGGCACCAAATAAAATTCATCATCATATTTGCAAACAGTTTTGGACTACAAGACAACATAGTGTCAGTTGGCCATTTGAAATAGAATCTCAGAAAAAAAATCAACTATAATCTTTGTGAAACAATACATTGCCTCTGTGCTGAGTTTGAATAAACTTAGTAATTGCATTCTTAAGTTATAAGCAAAAATTGTAAAAGATAAGTATTTTTTTTAGATGCACAGTCGCCAGTCAGCCAATTTCGATAAAATACAGAAAAACTGGAAGTGCCACAGTCCCCCCCTACAGGTCTCACCAATATACCAACACAATCGGTCATTGGAACTCAACATGTAGGTTTGTATCCCATTTTTTTATCAAATTTGGCCACCAGTCGGCCATTTTAAATCTGATCTGGGACAAAAATCAAGGGCATATTTATACCATTATATGTCAACTATGTAAAAGGTTAGAGAAACATTTAACAATATATCCCTCCCGGTAAACCACAGAGAAAATGCAATTGACTGATGGAATCAAATCCATACAAACTGTATGCCTCTATACAATGCTGAAGTGGAGTGACCACCTTAATGAACAGTTCTATTGCTATTCTTGTAGAGAATCCCCTTCAAAGATCATGTTTTTACAGTGTAATGTTTCAGAACCAAAGTCTTGTAACTGTAAACTTAACACTTCTGTAAAAACCATACAATTTTCTTAGTCCCTTCAAGTGTTCTATTTGGACAGGCTTCACAGTACATTTGTATTTTAAATTACAGTAAAACTAAAGCAGTTATTAAACAGATGTTTGTTTGTAGTCTTTAGTTTCCAATATTTTCTTTCCGCACATAGCACAGATACCTACAGAATAAGAAAACAAGCCATATATGGCACAGTCCCTGTTAGTTATCGAATTTATGATATATAGTTTTGTTTATAGTAATATAGCTGGAATATAACCATGTCAGGAATATGATTATGATGATTGTTTAACATTAAAATGATTGACATTTGTATCTGATCGTCAAACGAGCTATTGCTCTGGAACAGCATTAATTAAAACAAAATCAGCCATTTTGAATACATATATATATCTATAACATGATGTATAATGACAGAGATGGCTCTAGAAGCCCATTCATTAAAACAAAATGGCCACCAGTCAGCCATTTTGAATCCAATCTGAAAAATAAGATGTGCATCAGGAACTCGTAATGTCTAATGTATGTTATAAGTTTAAACGAAATCCATCCATAAATGCCAGAAATGCTTGATATTTGATGATTTTTTTAGCACAAAAATGGCCTCCATTCGACCACTTTGAATAGGATCGTCAAACCAATAAATCTGTGTATCTATGACATAATGTATAATGAATATTTAAAATTTGAACATAATCAGTCAAAGCTATGGCACTAGAATCACAATCATTAAAACAGTCGGCCATTTTGAATCTTATCTGAAAAACAAAATGATGTGCATCAAGGTCCTATAATGTCCAATGTATATACCAGGTTTGAACAAAATCCATCTGTAAACAGCCGAGAAATGCTTAATTTTGATGATTTTCAGTACAAAAATGGCTGCCATTCGGCCATTTTGAATCATATCATGAAACAAATTGATGTGCATATGTATAATGTAATGTATGATGTATGTGTGAAGTTTGATTGTGATTGGTCAAGGCATTTCTAAGATACAGGTCCGGATGCATGCATGCACGGAAGCACGGAGGTCAAAACATAAGTCCCCGTTTTCGAACTGCGTCCGAACAGGGACTAATAAAACACAGGTTGAGGTATATAAGGTGATAAAAAATATACCCCACACCAATCCTAAAGGAGTTATATATGGGTACTTTCTGTGAGATATTGGTGGAAAAGTTAAATATTGGCTAATTAATATGCATATTAAGTCTTTAATATACATTGATTTCAACCAAAACCTGGGGAATCAATAGTCCAACTTTAGTGGATTGGTACAGCAATCACAGGACAATTGTTTATTTCTTGTCACATGAAGTGTATATTATCAATGCTGGCCAAGAGGTTCTATATAGTACCGTTCATACACAGCTCCTTAGCACTGGTGAAGACGTCAAATACCTTAAATCGTGCTAAGAAAGCAAGAATGAACGCTTAGCACGGGCTAAGTAACATATAATTAAAGCAAAATTTTAAGAACCGGGTCCAGATCCTCAGCGTGGGATAACAAAGTGTGCGTGAATGCTTAGCTTGGGCTAAGCGTCCAAAATGACATTGTATTCAATGTTCATTTCTAAGATTTACTATTCATTTTGGTATGCAACTTCTGACATGTCAATCAACGCAAGCATATTGTTTTTGAGAAAAAATTAAATGACAATGAGACTCTCTAATTCGTGTTATTCTGCAATCTGTACTTACTGAATTTGGTTTGGTATTGTTTTTTAACAGTACAACTAGCATGTATACCTTCCTCGTGTATTGAGCAATCATAGCTAAAATACCTGATGATTTTTGTATATTTTTAATAAGTTTGGTTGTTCCATGGTCTGTGCTAGCCACTTAGTCCTCCCATGCATGAATGCAATTAGGTCTATCCAATATGCAAACATATGAGATTACCTGATGTTTACTGAGTAAATATTATTATTTATGAAGGTCATTGATAAGCCAAACATTCCATTCTATAAATATCCAGTAGGCAGCTAATGCAACAAGATTTTAATATTTTTTTAATAATACATTTTTCTACTTCCTATGCATAGACTCTGGTGCTGCAGTATTTACCTTTTTTATATGCACAGCCCTGGCAATAATGTGAACCAACTTGATGAACAGACTGCTTGCAGATACGGCACTTTTCAAACCGCATATATGGTTTAAATCTGTAACAGAGTGTTAGCTAAATGAAATAATTGATACACCAATGGGCTAAAAAAGGTAATAATAGTGATAGGCTATGGACAATTTTAGCAGTTCACAATTAATCAAGTATATCAGTGGACTGTGAAAACAACATGATCGTGGGATGATCCATTACAAATTATACAAAACAATAAACATATGTATATTAATATAATCTAGGTGTCAGTTCCTACCAGGCTTTTAACCTGTATGCACAACTTATTTTAGTGATAGAAAATTTAAAATGATGGGCTAAATTTCAACAAACATGTTCCCCTTTGATTGAAAGTTTTCAGTCATTCACAATTACTAAGAGAAAAAAACTACAAGTCTACGACAATTGTCTTTGAATTTTGTTCTCAGGCAGGCACTTTTCATTTTCTGGTTATAAGCCTGGTTGCTGTCCACACAATGATTAAAAGGCAATTTCACACACCTTGCTTTCTTTGAAGTGAGTAGTTTGTTTTCATTAACAGTTCTTCCACCACTTTCTGTAATAAACATGAAAACATCCCTTTGAAGACATTAAATGGACTATGGGGAAATAGAATTGAGCAAAAGAAGAGAAAATTGACAAAATACTCCAATGTACTTTTAATGTGTGAAACCAGTGAAGTTATCCTAATATATCTGGAGACCATTATAAATTTGAACTTAATAAACCCAGATATGAAACTGTGACTGTGAATGAATTGATTAATTTACTAAAAGGAAACATATCCTCTTCTGGTTCTTAATTACATTCAAATTGGTAATAATTGAATTTAATAACAAAAATGAAATTCAAGATTAATTTTGAAACCAACCGACTGTATTCCTTGCACCAGATTTCCATGGGTCTGGAGTGATCACCTTGCCTAATTTCTTTTGACCTGAATGGAAAAAAAATAACAGTGACATGCCCATTCTTTAAAACGTTTGGTGCACATAACCATTGGTACACATTTTTCGAAATTGTTCATAATTTTCCTACACATATATTACAATATTATGGAAATGCATACAGTGTAGAAAATTAACACTGGTCCTTTGGCCCATGGAGGTATATACATGTATATAATTGGCCCAAGACTAACTTATTTTGTATAGGACAGACAGTTTTAAGAAACCAATATAAAACATGCCATGGATGTGCAGTTATAAAGCCACCAAGTACTAAGAAAGACAATTTACGAAAACAATGAGCATATTCTGATCAATCGAGAGATACGTTCTAAACATGCCTCTGTACAGCTGCTTCTCAGCTTCATTATGCTTATGATGTGCAACATTTCTCAGACAGTCATTAAGAATAAGAATACTAGAGTACATCAGACACTGGTTACACTCTTGTTTTGCCATATGATCAGCAATAAGATGCCAGTAGAAACACACATCATTGACTTTAAAGTGCCTGTGCAATGCCCACCCACACGCTTCCCATTTTAGATCTGTGCCCAACTGAAATGAGCAATTATTGATTTTTTTGCTGAAAATGATTACTCGTATCCAAGTAAATTTGAGATATTTCCCGTGCTGTAGCCACGCCCACCTATCCTGAAACGGTCGACTGTTTCCGGATTTCCGTCTCTCGCCGAAAGTGCGCCACCGAATGCAAAAATATGAGAGGAAGCCATACCCCTGGGCCGTACTTTTATATCACTGTGTCATTCAACGTACAACTGTACTTTTAAACGATGTACATTTTTTAATCGGCGTTTCTTTTGTCTATTTTATTTTTGAGAGAGCGTCATAAAAATGGAATCTTTGATTGTAATGAGCTATTGCATATAAATAAATAATTAGGAATCAAATCAATGTACGCAAAAAGGAATTACTCACTTCCGAGTATATTTCTGCAAAAATGTAAAATTTGGGCGAAACGAAAACTTGCATCGTCTGTATCTGCAAACCGCTTTAAAATTTGAGTTTGGGTGCACTATGACACATAGGACGGAAATATATTGATGTATGGGCATAGATTTCTTGCGGATTTCCTAGCTAGGAAAACAAAAGTCTTATTTATAAATCTAATCGAAAAAATGCAATCACACAAATATGGTATCATGTGGGTATTCAGCTTTTCCCCGATAAATATGTTTGAAACTTGATTGAACAAATTGTCATCACAAGTGAACTTAATGTAATAGCCATGGCAACAAGCTTGTAAGGATCCCCCAGGAAAAAGCCATTCTACTTACCAAGGGTGGCTTAGTTCTGCATATGTGTTATCTATAAATAACACCATTGTGATATATCACAGGAGAATGTTTCAAATGCGATCTGATTTTAAAAGTTCTGTCTTCAAGTTTTTGGGGCAAACATTTGTCAATATAAAAAAATATTGAGGACATCGATGAAGGAAAGAGTTCCTTAAGGCCCCCAACCCAAACCCTAACAATCCAGCCCCCCCCCCCAATGTTATTCAATATGCCCCTCCATATAAGTGACTTGAAGAGGGGAAGCACTGGAGGGCATGGATAGCATTAGAGTTATGAGTGAGGGATCCTAAGGAACTCTTACCACAAAATCTCTAGTGGAATGGCATTAGCATATCAATTATAATTGTATTAACACTTACACATTCCCCGGAGGGATTCATTGGCAATGGTTACCGGTACAAATGTTCAAGAAAGAATAAAAGTGTGATAACAAATCAGGACCTGCTCCGTTTTAGTAGGACCTGCAGTCTTTATCAGTCCTTCCGCCCAGGAGGAGCATCGGATTAATTTTCTACACTGAATACATATATTTTAAGACATGTCTTATTATGCATTACACAAAACACACACCGGTACATATTTTACATGACATTACACACCGCGCAGATATTACAAATTGAGATTTGACAAGATTATACGTCACTTTGTCTGAACGCTTTTGCGAAGTGCTTGCGTAAGAGCCATGGTCAATTTGATTTAACATAAAGAGGTATAAGTAATGGGAATGACGGAAGCACATATACTTACACTTGTCACAAACCATATCTGCGATTTAAAAAATGTTTTAGATGGCTGTGTTGTCCTATCTCCCTCTCAAACCAAAACAACACTGGTCGGCTTCCAGATAGTGTCAATGACGGGTGAAAGGTTATGTACACTTTCGAACATTAGTTTTATTTGCGATTTAGTTTTTCTATGTAAGCTATTTAAAAGAAAAATAGATTTTGAAATATTAATCGTACTTTAAAAATATATCCTTCATATTATTTATTTGACTTGTTAATGAAGTATGATTGCTTAATTTACCAAACTATAAATCTACCCCTTGTACGAGGAGGGGAAATATCCCTGATTCGCACTTCAGGAAACCCGTCAGTTGACCTTTTTGTTTGTACAACATAGCGTTTTAGACGTCCAGTTCTACTAGGCGAAGCGGATCACTTCTTAAATACCTCTGATCTATAGTCGCCGTACTATTTTGTATCCCAGGTTCGTCATCGCTTCGTAGACAACTCTTACGTCTTCGGCAATATTATGTTCCACGTTGTGAAGTAAAATCGCGATTCGCACGCGTCAATCTGGCGACGGCGTTCTTCAGTTTCATTGATTTCGACAATGCATTCATTCATGTGATACACTATCAGTAAACCGTTCGCTCGTCGTTCATTATTGCTCGAGGATTACTATATCGCGACAAGACAACATATTATATATATATTAATATAGTTAATACTCAATATTCTTCGATATTTTTTGTTATTTCCTACTGTCTTCATTTCTCCGCTATACAGGACAAAGACATCGCCAAAGATGGTGGCCAGTCGCATTTACGTTGGAGATCTCCGTCCGGATGTTCGCAAGGAAGACTTGGAAAAAGAGTTCGGCAAATTTGGTCGCGTCGTTGATATCTGGATTGCGCGGAACCCACCCGGCTTCGCCTTTCTTGAATTCGACAGCCCTAAAGACGCCGACGTCGCTGTAAGATCTCTTGATGGGAAAAGCGTATGTGGTTCTCGGGTGAGAGTTGAGATATCACGTGGTCGCGGACGCGGTGGTGGCGGCGGAGGAAGAGATCGCGGCGGAGGAAGAGATAGAGGCCCACCACGATCATTCGGCGGTCCCCCAAGAAGTGGTCCACCTGGTATGTCATCAAGGCCGCCACCGTCAGCTTATCGAGACTACCCACCAGACTATTCAAGCAGATACGAGTCGCGATACGACGACGCACCACGATCACGATATGCAGATGGATACAGTTCTTTTGGTTCACGATCACCGAATGCAAGTTATCGCAGCAGATCGCCAATCCGACGAAGGTAGACCACACGCCAGTTTGGCATACAGATGCCTCATTATTTTTATTCGCAGTGATGTATTTCAACACCGCAGTGTTTTCAGAAGAAGGTTCGATCCCCAATTTATAGCAAAATCGCACGTGTCAAACTTCCGATTCGAAATCAAGTAAAATGTAGTACCGATAGTTTATATTTTGGCAAGTTTTCTCCTCTTCTGCTTCCACAGTCTTGTCGCATCCTGGTTATCGCAGTGGTATGCTCACCAGCTTTGATTCCAGACAACCTACGTGCGCTCACGTGTATATTTGTTTTTCATTTGGTCATTCTGTCTATTGTTTGGCATGTGCTAATTTGGAATGAAAACCAGTCTTCATCACTTATCTACAAAAATTTCGCTCTTCACTTCACTTCATTGTCGGGGCATGTGTCACACACGATTCAGTATACTGGTATTGTTTATTTCGCTTTGCGAACCTGCTGCTCCCGCCTGCTCTGCCTTCCCATTCAAATGGATAGCGGCGTCGCAATACATCAATAAAATACCTAGATATATCAGCGATTCCTACGTATACATGTGCAAGGCATCTGAAGCAGACATTTTATGTTCACTTCGCTTCCAAAGCGTTTATTCATCCAAAATACGCATCGTTTTTAATCAGGCTCAGTTGAGATTTCTTTTGGAGAAAAGGAATTCATTCGCTGTTATCAGTTGCACTGCACAAAAGTCGCAATATACCTCGCTAATGAATCTGCTCGCCCATTCCAATCTTGTCGTCACCAGCATATGTTGAGACACCATGGGTCAGTTGGCGGTGTATTGGAGATGAAATGGTACAGTTGGTTGTCCATATTTCTCTTTTTTTAATAATTCTTTCAATTGTCATGTGAATAAATGCATGTATTCGGTGAAAAGCTTTGATATATTAGACTTAACTGTTATAGTCTGATTTTTAATGATGTCATGCTTAATTATGTTACAGTATTTCATGGTGTACAATAAGACACTTTACTTGTTAGTGATGCTTTGGATGTTTGTTATACATGTGCATGTATATAGACAGTCGTATAACAACATTATCATCATATATTTATTTACTATATTGTTATAAAATAACGCAAAAGTTTATGCCAGATCAATAATGTGGCTTCTTTGTTCTAGATCTCCACCAGCGTTATCAAGAAGTAGAGATTATGTCAGAGAATATAGAGACTATCGGGATTATGCCACATCAGCAGCTCCTAGGTGAGTGAGGTAATAACATCTTTATCACTCCAAAGTCGTCAGTAGCCTTGCCAATTCTCTCCTCTCCTCTACTGTAAAACCTCATCGAACAGCCGCCGGTCTTCCCTTTCACTGCAAGTTTCTTTCTGACCTCTCTAAAAGTATGACAATTTTTTAATGCATTTTGTCTACACAACTTGAATCTGATGCATTAATTTTATATTTTGCAGTTACGGAGCGTCTCGTTACGATAGGTCGTACGATAGAGGGCCGCCTCCACCTCCTCCACCTGGCACTTACGACAGACCACCTTATGACAGAAGTCCGTACGAGAGAGCATCAACTGCATACGATAGAACAAGATCACCCCCGCCAAGGCGATAGAAGGGAAATATCCACCTACAAAAAAAAACTTACTAGTATTTATTTTGTTCATGCATGTAAATATGTGTTGTGCTCTGCCAGGTCTTTGATTTTAAACTAGCAGTTTGTCTGGGTCCTATGGAGATTTGGTATAAACATTGAATATTAAATTAGTACACACTTTGCACATAGAAAAACATTAATTTAGATAGGCCAAGGGGGATAATGATTGGATCAACCGGTATTGCAAGAAAAATCCAATGGGTGTGTGACATTTATTGGAAAGAGATTTGACTCTGTGCCAGTAATGTCGTTGCACATGTTTTTCCTGCTAAATCTTCAAAGTGTTTTTTTTTTTTTAATAGCTAGTATATGATTATGTACTCTCAAAAACTGAATATTGTTTTCACCAAGGCATCCACATTGAGAGCAGTGTCTGAATACACCAAATATTGTCTTTAATTATCATTTTCTTGTTCATCCTTTTTGTTTATAGAAGTTTTTAAACAGGCCGATTCAGGGGTCCTTCATCTAATCTTTCCCCAGTGTAGCAGGACAGACTGTTTTTGGCTTTGATAATACCGTATTGTTGAAATTGTATGTCATTAATTTGTAGAGTACTGCTTGAAGAAAAAAGCTATTCATTGTATTAAATTGTATTGAAATGGTTAGTTCATTGATCAAAGTATACCCTCTCAAGGTGTTACATTTATAAAACTGCATCTTTACAAATGGTCTCGCTATGTAACTGACATGTCTTTGAATAACTACCAGCAAGATCTTTTTAGCTTGCTCATTAATGTTATTCACATTTGTACAACAGACTGTTATTCTAGTATGTTTTAAGTATTAAAAAGCTTTTTAATGTGAGTTGTTATCTGTTATGATGGTATGAATGCAAGAAAACTATTGTCTGGTGGCATGAATGGTTGTTCTTAATTTTTTTGGAAGCTTGTATTGATCTGGGTCCTACTTTGTCAGCGTGGGCGTTATTTACATTTGGTTGCTGGCTGCCCACTCGAACATCATCGTGGATCCTGTTATAGCGAAAATTAGGTGAATGCATACTTTTTTTAGATCGAGCAGATAAGCTACATAAATATGAATGAGTACAGTGACTGTCAGAACCTCAATTTATCCATAAAAAATCTTGGTTGTATTACCGGTAATTTGAGTGACAATTGATGGTCATATAGTCTCTCCATGCAATGGTGTTGATATGCAAGTAAATGTGTGAACACGCACAAAGATAAAATTTTGAAGGTCTTGTTTCCTTGAAGGGCTTTATCTATTTTGTAATGGCAAAGGGAGCTATGTCTATTTTTCAAATGCTGTAATAGTATTTTTTCAATGCATGAATACAGTGAGCTGACATTTTGTTGTCCGTGTATTGCATACTGAAATTCAGGCAGGTGGCCTGTATAAGCAATATCTGCATAATAATCAGATTATGAATATTCATCATCTAACCTACAAAATTAAATAACCAAAGACAAGAAAATTTGTTTTTTTTAGTTCTTTGAAAAAAAAAATCAAGTTATTATTAGCTAAATGAGCAGAGTGCCTGTTAAATGACTGTTGCGTGTTTTAACTGAACCTTGATGGTTTCCTTTTAGCACAGTCGCATATCAACAGTACTTTCTAGCAACATTGAATTATTACATTCATGAATAATTCCTTTCATTGAGAGAATATTTGAAAATAACAAAATTTAACCAAAAATTATCAATATTTTTAAAATTACTATGTAACTTATTGCCACTGCTCCCTTTAATTTTTTTGAATCTTGAAAATACTGTGAAAATTTGCCCATTCTCTCCTTGTTTTTTCTGCATACAAAATGCATGAAAAGTTCTCAAAAGACAAAATTTCACTGAGAAACTACAATTGAATCTGAGAAAATTGAGCAAAAATAAGGCTTAGAGGGAACACTGACTATCGCTAATATTGGCACCACCGAGGGATAATATTATTTCTTTTTTTTTGAAACAGCTTAGGATAATATTATCTCTCTTGTTGGGGCCACCAGGGGATAATATCTCTCGTGTTGGGGCCACCGGGGGATAATATCCTTGTTGATGGATGACTCATAGATAATATTATCTCTTCTTGAGGGATCTCTCAGGGATAATGTTATTTTCTAAGTTTGGACCACTCTGGTATGATGATATCTCCTTCCTTCTTTGGACCACTCTTAAGTATTTCCTGTGGTGACCAATACCTGGGAAGAATGAGATTATATTATCTCACTAATTATTGGCAATACTAACACAATATAATTTTCTTCGACAGTGATGGCCAGTTCATGGGAGTAATGAGATAATATTTTCTCACTCGCGATGACAATATGTTGGTCAAATATAATATTACTTAAAAAAAAAAACGATTCATTGGAACTGTGGAGGTAATATTTCTGTAGAATTAGACAATAAATGAGATAATATTTTCTAGTGATAGCCAATACTTCCTGTCTAACTTTCTTCAATTTATTTTTTTGTTTCACAACAAATCACATTACAGAAAACACCAAAGTACTGGCTTATACTAGCAGTTAATATGTCTTTTATTAGAATATGAAAAACTCATTGATACCAAATATTTGCATTAAAAATAAATACAAAATAAAAATTGCAATAATCCATGCTTTAAAAAAATGCATTGAGCTGAACTAAAATTTAACATGTGTCACGTCTCAGCTAAGATATCTCAAAAAAAGTCTTTTAACAATTTAATAAAACAAAAGTGCATAAAATGCCTATGACAAGTTGTGAGAATAAAGATTTTACTTGAGAAAATGAGTCAGGCTCGAAAACAGGACATTTGGTGTTTATAAGGTTTTGCAATGGGCGAGAGGCACTTGGTGTGTTGAAGTATAGGTAATGGTGTATTACTGGGAATGACAAAGCAACCAAACCCTATATTGTAATAATATAGTTCACTGTTCTGGTAACCAAATAACAATATTGATATCAGTTTACCGTTACAAACAGTTCCATTTGAACAAACAATAATGCTATTCTGTTAGTAAAATAGTAGACTATATTGTAATACTGCTGGTTGTGTTGCTAGTTCGTTTCACAGTAAGGATAATACCACAGTTGTTGCTAGCATCTTGTAACGCGCACATTGCATTGTGCATTAAGTTGTTCTCTATTAACATTTGCAATCATAAACACACAATTTATAGTTACCAGCTTCCATCACTACAGAAATTAAAATATGCAGGTAAATGTAATGTGCTGAACAAGGTGTTAATTTACTAGTAAATACCGTTGGTATATTGTAGTCATTCGTTCGAAAGCATAATTCTAATGTGTGTTATTTCAGGGAGCCTACCGTTCTCCAAGACTCAACTGATTCCTGCCGTTGGTGGCGTGGTTGAGAGTCTAGAATCACCGTTTCAGCCAGAGCACTGGAAGCCTACATCTGAACCCATAATAGCTTCGGAGGCTATATTTTCGAATTGAAATTGGTAGTATTTTTCAATTTGTAAGAACAATGCGTGCCAAATTTTCATTGTGATGTTTACAGGATGTCTTTGTACATTGTACCAGTTTACTGGTCTGCATACGACGATAATGATATAGCAATATAGTTCGTCCAATGATGAAAGCATTTTGTGTACCAAGGGTTCGGAGATTTTGCAAAAACACATTTGACAATAATGGTGAATAAAATCGGAGCATCATCATCAAATAATCTTGCCCAGAACTCAATCGTAATCGTAAATTTGCATGGCACGTATTCTTGGCTTATTACAGATAGCGTAGTATAAAGCATATCTTCTGTTGGGAGCCTTTCCTGTGATGATGACATCGGGGTACAGGTCGCTCCCAATAGCGCTGTTGCGAGATTACACAAGACAGTGCAGTTATAGCATGCTTTAGAGTTTGTGCTGATATGAATACATTGCATTCAGTTTGTAAGAGGGTGAAATAGATGTTTCTGGCTGTGCAATGTATCTTGTATCTAGTCAAGTCTAAATATATGAGTTATAATTTATGAAATAATCACAGTTATGTGTTATACATTCTATAACAACGGGATACTGACTAAAAATCATTTTCAACTTGACGATGACGAAAGTTAAGTT